GAGTCATTCTTTTTATCTACTGATATAAGTTGTCATTTAAATTTGAACCCTTTCTAGAGTGTTACAAATAATACAAGTTATATAATTGATTGAACCGCGTTACTTAAATTAAACCGGCAGTTATTTATAGAATAGAATTTTGGGCTTACTTTTGTTTTTATGACATTTAATTGTTTGGTTTTTGGGCTTAGTTTTAAAGAAAAACTCCAAAACATTAAATAAACTTTCCACATTAATGAATCAAAAATCAATTACTATTTTCAGGCCCAAAAATATTTAATATTTTCAACAAAACAAAATTATCTATTATTAATCACTTATTTAAATCATGTACTTTAAAACATATTAATATTTTTTAGCCCAAAAATATTTAATATTTTCAACAAAACAAAATTATCTATTATTAATCACTTATTTTAATCATGTACTTTAAAACATGTTAATATTTTTTATTTTAAATAACAATCACTCTATCTTGATAAATTTTAATGGTAACTTTTAAATATTTTATTGTTTTATTTTTCTTAAATAATTTACAGATTTTTAAAAAAATGTAAAGCAAAACCAAAAACCAAATCTAAAAACTAAAATCCAAAATCAAAAGCTGAAAACGCAGGTTATATTTTTTTGCTTTTTTTATTTACAAAATAAAGTATTTCAAAAATTTTAGAAAATTATTTTGTCATCTTTTCAGTTTTAAATTACATGTTCGATTAATTGAGATTTGTTTGCTGGTAATATCAGTTCAAACTAACTCAGCGGGTCTAAAAATTAAAAACCCAAACCAAAAGCTGAAAAACAAAAATAGAAACTTAAAAACTAAAAACCAAAAACCAAAATTTAAAACAAAATCTAAAAATAAAATATGAAACTAAAACCTAATGAAAAACAACTATCACCACAAATTTTGGTAAACTAATTTTGTACCAAAACATTCTTTAAATTAAGATAACACCCAATTATATAAATTTTGTATCATAAAATATTTCCGCGCTTTTTAATCGCGGGTCAAAATCTAGTATATATTAAAACAGAAGTCATGACTTGACTTCATGTGTGATTTTCTTAAAAATGGACTATTACTAGAAAGTTATGTTACATGAACTTTCTAATAATCTTATCATTATTATATCTTATGAAAAATCATATCTATAATAATAAAGATACGCTTAATAATTTAGTTTAGGTAAATTACCCCACACCTTCCAATTTAGTCACGCAAAATATGTCAATAGAATAAGTTTAGGAATCTTCTATTATTTATAAGGAAATATGTCAATAACAGTTAAATGCATCCACAATATATTAACAAAAATCAAAGATTCGTAATAAGGAATATTTATATACCCTAACAAAATTTACACGCTATATATACTAGATAAATTTATTTCAATGTAAATTTTTAAAATTATATTGTTTTAAAAAAATTGTTAAAAAAATTCCTTAATAAAATTATTTATAATATTAATATATGAAGTTATAAGTTTAGTTTTTAGCAAAAAATTCTTCGAAGTTTAAATTATCTTTGCAAATTAAAGTATACCAATATTTAATCAAGCTCTATTTATATTAATTTATCTAAAAATGAAATACTAATCTAACAAACAATAAAATATAGAAGAAGAAACAAACATATATTTGAAAAACATGTATAATATAGAAAATTTGAAACAATCTATTTGATTAAAACATGTATTATATAATATTATTATGTTTGAAAAACATTTACTATACATATCGTAAATATGTGATTACTATAATATATATCAATTTACAAGTGAAAAAAATGTTTATATAACTAACTATAAACGAAAACAAACACCCGCGCGGTTGCGCGGGTCAAAATCTAGTCTACTCTATTAAAATAGAGTCATTATTTTTATCTACTGATACAAGATGTCATTTAAATTTGGACTCTTTCTAGAATGTTACAAATAATATAAGGCATATAATTGATTGAACCGTATTACTTAAATTAAACCAACACAATTAATGTAAAGAAACGATCTTAATGTAAACTACCTTCAAAATACGGCAGGTATCTATGTGTATACCGAAAACATATATTTTCTCCTACAAATATGGAATGTTCTAAAAGAATATATATCATCAAAATATTGAATATGGAAATCTACTAATTATACTTAAATTAAACCAGTGGTTATTTATGTAATATAGTCTTGGGCTTACTTTTGTTTTTTGAACAAATTATATAGTTTGGTTTTTGGGCTTCGTATTAAGAAAAAACTCCAAAAACATTGAATAAACTTTTCGCCTTAAAAGATCAAAAAATTAATTATTATTTTCAGACCTAAAAGATATTTAATATTTTTAACAAAACAAAATTATCTATTATTAATCATTTATTTAAATCATGTACTTTAAAACATGTTAATATATTTTTTTATTTTAAATAACAATCACTTTGTTTTGATAAATTTTAATGGTAACTTTCAAATAATTTATTGTTATATTTTTCTTAAATAATTTACTGATTAAAAAAATGTAAAGCAAAACCAAAAACCAAATCTAAAAAATAAAATCCAAAACCAAATGCTGAAAACACATGTTATATTTTTTTATTTCTTTATTTACAAAATAAACTATTTCAAATCTTCAGTTTTAAATTAGATAATGGATTATTTGAGATTTGTTTGTTGGTAATATTAGTTCAAACTAACTCAGTGGGTTTAAAAATTAAAAACCCAAACTAAAAACTGAAAATGAAAAGTAGAAACTTAAAAACTAAAAACCAAAAAACAAAATCTAAAAATAAAAACTGAAACTAAAAACTAATGAAAAACAATCATCGCCACAAATTTTGGTGACCTGATTTTATATCAAAATATTCTTTAAATTAAGACAAAACCCAATTATATAAATTTTTAATCATAAAAATTTTCCGCGCTTTTCAAGCGCGGGTCAAAATCTAGTTAAAAAATTAAAGCTGAGAAACTCTGTGAGCTTGACACGTAAGCATGCTCTCCAAGGTTGTGTATTTATGAATGCTTCAGAATTAATATATAGGGGATATATAAAAAGATAAGACCAATCCATTTATTTGTTAATTACTCTTAAGTTGGAAATTTATCATAAACTCGAATCTATATTATAATGATACACTTTAAAGGCTCCTTAAGGTGTCCACATAGGCAGATGTGGATCCCATATTTTTATATTAATATAGATAGTTTTTTTAAAATGGCTACAAACAAAAAATATCAGTTTAGCCAAGTGGTCTAAGGCCCCATGTTTGGTCTGCAAGGGCATGGGTTCAATTCCCACTGCTCTCATGCATAGAAATTTTTTAAACACACATAGTCTTGGTAAGATGGTCACAAACAATGAAATACACTTTAGTCAAGTGGTATAAGGTGTCTAATTAAGTATGCAAGATTGTGGGTTCAAACCACGCAGCTATCATGTATTTTTGATTTTTTTATTTATGTTATTATCATATGGGCTTTTTGTTTATAAGATTATTATGTTTTTTTTTTGCTTATTGTTATAAAGATCAAAATAGTTGTATAAACCCTAAACCTTAACAAGTTCAAACCCAAAATAGTTAAAAATGAATCCAAAACAAACAATAAAAAAAAACAAAAAAAACAAGTCTCACGTGGTTGCCTACGCGGATGGCTTAAAGAACCTTAAAACTATCATATTATAATATAGCTCAACCCAAAAATAATAAAAAATAAATCCAAAAACGAACAGACCAAAAAAAAAAACAAAAAAAAGTGAATTCCACGCGGGTGCATACGTGGATGGCTTAATGAGGGTTGAGTAATATAGATTAGGAGCTCAAAAAGTTAAATCATTGCACATATTTCCTAATATATATTTTCAAAAAATTTGTATGTGAGATAAAATAAAATAAAACAACAAAAATTAATTATTTTCGTTATTTATTAAATGAATATATAATATAATGATACACTGTAATTTCCTTGAAAACATTCCTCACCACCGATTTCAGACTCCGACGAATGGATTCCCACAGTCGATGACGCCGTAGATAAAAATGGCACATCATTTATGAACAAAACTCAAACTTACAAAAAACCATATATAAAAGCCTATCTAATGAAACTTAAACAACGAATATTAACTTAATTAAGGTTATTTTCAAATTGATAAATCGTTTAATACACATATAAATACTATAAATATAGAATTATATCAAGTTTTGATCTACGATATAAAAACTATTTACAGCAAAAAAAACACACCTACTTTTACACACTAAAAACTATATTATAGCCTAACTATTCCTATAAACCTTACTTCGCATATAAATAACATTTAACACATTCCTAATATTTTTCANAAAATTTAAGTAAGTTATTTATTAAATGAATATGTAATTTCTCTTACATTTTAATAACTACTATAATTTCATTGAAAACATTTCTCACCACCGACTCCAGACTTCGGCGAATGAATTCCCACAGTCGATGACTCCGTAGATAAAAATGCCACATCATTTATGAACAAAACCCAAACTTACAAAAAACCATATATAAAAACCTATCTAATGAAACTTAAACAACGAATATTAACTTAATTAAGGTTATTTTCATATTGATAAATCGTTTAATACAAATATAAATACTATAAATATAGAATTATATCAAGTTTTGACATACGATATAAAAACATGAAATTTTTCCTTTCATTATTAATTGGTGTCATTAGAAAAATGCACTAAACCAACAATCGAAAAAATACACGCAAACATAATGATCCCGGCCCCGCGCTTGCGCGGGGAATATGCAACTAGTTTACATTGTTGGTAACTTCAAAAATTTGTTTGTCAAAAAAAAAAAAAAAAAAAGAAAAAGAAAAACTCCCAGTCTTCCACCTCAGTCAGACTGTGCTTTGTCAAGAATTTATTCATGGATCTCTTGCCAAACTCCCAGTCTTCCACCTCAGTCAGACTGTGCTTTGGTAAGAACTGATGCTACCTGGAACGAGTCTTTAAAAATTGCAGGGCTGGGATGGACAACAAACCGACCGGAAAGAGACTGCTTTTTCTCGACCACTACGCAGCACTTGCAGCAGAAGGATTGGCCATGAGGGAATTAGCTCTCCTGAAGTGTAGAGAACTTGGCCTCCCCAAGCTTAGATGTGAATCGGATTCTGCTATCCTGATCAAAGCTATTAATCTCAAGTCCCCACTTGTTGGTTTGTATGGCATTTTAGCTGATATTTTCTCCATTGCCACCTCTTTTGAATTCATTTCGATTACCTGGATCTCGCGTGAGAGAAACAGAGTTGCGGATGAATTGGCAAAGAATGTTTTATCTTCGAAGCTGACCAATAAGGCAGCAACAAACTCTGTTTAGAGCGGTTGATTAATATAAGTTGTGTTTCAAAAAACAAAAAAAAGCCAAATGAATGTAACTACATAGTAACATAGCATCCAACAAGACTAATAATAGTAGTTGTAGTAGCCGCGCTCATCCTAACGAGCTGTGGAATAGTAGATGTTCAAGAAGATAAAGATGATGATGATGATGAAACACTTGGAGGTTTCGTTGTTATTGATGGAGAAGCCAAGTATAGAAGAAGAAGAAGACAGATTGAGTTTTTGTTTTAAACAAAAGAGATGAGGACGCATTGAAGTATCTCAAAGACATCAGATGTTACAAAGTAGAAACAGTTCAAGAAACTTCAAGCTGGAGTTTCTCTTTTGATCCTATTGCCTTACTTTAAGAACTCGGTTCTGTCTAAAACTTACCATGTACTTGATGAAGTGTTTGGGTATATCAAATTCTCGTTTTTACTTGGTTTTTCTTTTTACCTGATCTTCAACTTGGTCTCGTTTGAGATCGAATGGTCCACCCTGAGATTGATGAAGTTGAGGAGTTTTATACAACAAGCGTTAGATTACCTATAGTCCCTTTTATATTCATGATATTGTTTCTTCATCAGGTAAGTGTCAGAATATAGATATTCTTGTAGGGTGAAGAGCTCCAAAACCTGATGGATCAACAAGACTATGACATCACGTAAGCTTTTAGTGTTTTACATTCTCTGACATTGACAAATTTGCAAGTGTATTATGATGATGACAGAATGAGAAACTAGAAGAGAATATTTGCTTCAGTGGAGTTTTCAAAATTGAGAGAGGAGCTTCACAATTTCTAATTTCTATGTTTTTTATTAATGATACACCAAGAAATCCAAGAATCTCTCTCAATAATACACGTACACACATATGATTAAGTGGTTATAGATACATTTAACGTTTTCTTTAGCAGCAGTCTATAGATATGTCTAGTAAATAGTGTTCATGTGTCTTGTTTGAATACATCAATTCATATTCTTACTAGGTGATTTTCCCGTGCTCATGTACGGGTATGAATATTTATAAAGTAAAATTTTATTATAATTAACTGATATTTAGTTTTAATTTTGAATCAATTTATATGTATAATTTATATTAATAAAATATTATATTATTCTAATTATACATATGACTTTGAATATATTATTGTCAGTTTAGTTATTATTTGGATCAATAATCAGTTTGGTTATCAATTTGATATATTGGATAATATCTATTTTTTCCAATTCAGCTATAATATTATTTATTCTAAATATAATAAAACTTTGATTAATTTTCTTATTTTCATTTCGGTTGGTTATTGTCTTAGATATGTAAATATAGTATAGTTAAATTAAGTATAACTTAATATATATTATGCTTAAAATGAAATAAATAATAAGTTGAAGTGTTTGATTCAAAATTACATAAATGAATATATTGATAATATTTTGAAGTCTCATGCATATATATAAATTCTACAAAAGAATTAAATTGTAATTGGTTAATATTTTCTTTTTCTTTTAAATATGTTTTGAGTCAACCTCTAATTTATATATATATATATAAAATTAAATAGATTCTTATTATTATTATTATTATTATAAAACTATATTTTATTATTGTAATTAGATGTTTAATTTTGGATATAAATTAGATTAGTCGAGTAATTCATTTTGTGAGTATATCGAGTTAAATATATTTTTAAATTAAAATTGAAGCATAATAATTTTTTATTTTAGTTAAGTCAAATCAAATTAGTTTTATTTATCACTTAAATATACATGTATTTTCATAATATTTATTTACTCTTGTTAAGTCAAATCAATTAGTTTTATTTATTGCTTAAATATACATGTATTTTCATAATATTTATCAAATTATATGTTGATTTCTATAAAAAATTATTAGAAAATAAAGTGTAACTGATAAATTTTTGGATGTTCATGAACATATATATATATATATATATATATATATATATATTTTTTTTTTTTTTTGAAAATATATTTTATGTTATTTAAAAGTATATATTAATGGGGGTTTTACTATTTTGTGACTTTCTTTTTTATTAAAGTCATATTATATAAATATTTTTTTTTATTATATATGTTATTTGGAAAAAGGTAAAAAAGAAACTAATTAAAAAAATTAATAATAATCTTAAAATCTAACAATTTATTAAGGGTATTTACGTAATCAACCATCGCGAGAGTTAACGTGAGCGCGACACGTAGGAAACTGACTTCTCAAATAATATTATAGAGATCTTAGAGACTAGTTGCTCCAAGATTTCTTAACTAGTGCGTTGGTTGCATACTAAATATGTAAACTCTTAAGATAGTTGGCTAGTTGCGTACTAAATGGCCTTAAAATTCAAATAAGGGAATAAATATAAGAAATTGTGGAAAGTAAATATGTAAAATTCTTCAAAGTTGACCCAAAAAAAAATGTAATATTCTTTCTTTGCACTTCTTTAAAGAGGTACGTTTCCATCACGCCTTCCTCCTCTGAAAGTCTTGTATTTGATTTTTGGAACTAGGAATCTTTTAGTTGAGAAGCAACGGCTTGGAGATTTGCTTTTGCGCAGCCATGGCAGATGTAAGTCAAGAGCTTTGTTTGACCACCAAATTATATTCTTATTTCCTCTGTTTCATGACTGATACTTTTTTGATTGCTGTGACAGAAACAAGAATCCACAGGAAATCTGAAACAGAAACTCGAAGAGATCTTTGATGCGTCTTTGAAGTTAACGGTTCCTGATGTACCTGGTGTTGAGCCCAAGATCACTATTTCAAAAAGAAAAGAAGATTACCAATGGTTGCCTCCCTCTTCTACTTTTAGTTCAATGTTCCTTTTCTGTGTGTGTGTGTTTTTTTTTTATGTGGGGTTATATTAGATTCTTACCACAATTTTGTTGCATGCAGTGACAATGTAATGAGCCTATGGCCAAGAATCAAAGGCAAGAGTACGCATATCAAGAGTTCCCTAGCTCTTGGACAGGTTGCTTTATGTTATGGTCTGGCTTTTTGTTTGATGTATGTTGTCTACGTAGCAGATTCTTATTTTTTGTTGTTTATCACATAGGCTATTGTTGAGAATCTCCCTACTTCTGAGATGGTGGAGGCATGCTCAGTAACTGCACCTGGTTTTATTAATGTTACAATATCAACTAAGTGGATAGCCAAGGTCTGTTGTATAAGCTATCACTTGTATAGTTCAGTTTACACCTCTCAAACATAATCTCTTTAACTTAATATGTTTTCTTACAGAGCATTGAAAACATGCTCATCAACGGTATTGAGACATGGGCGCCTACTCTCTCGGTTAAGAGAGCTGTCGTTGATTTTTCATCTCCAAACATTGCAAAGAAAATGCATGTGGGTCATCTTAGATCAACAATCATCGGTGACACCATAGCTCGAATGCTAGAGTACTCAAATGTTGAAGTTCTACGTAGAAACCATGTTGGTGACTGGGGAACACAGGTACACTCTTCCTAATGGTTTCTTTAAACGTTGAAAACATAGTGTTTTAATTTTATAGGAGACTAAAAAGTCTACGCTTATTGTGCAGTTTGGAATGTTAATTGAGTACCTCTTTGAGAAGTTCCCTGATACTGATCTTGCTGGTGACATATCCATTGATGATCTACAGGTCAGATACTTTTTACAATTGGCATAGTAACGCTTTGTATGAAAACCAGAAGCAGTTCACTTTCTAACTTGAGATTTTTATATGCTATAGTCCTGTTACAAAAAATCAAAGAAAAAATTTGATGAGGATCCAGTCTTTAAGAAAAAGGCACAACTAGCCGTGGTCCGTATACAGGTAGATAACTAGTTCTTTTACTTCTGTTAGGAAGTGTCTCAATATTCAGGTTCCTTGGTTTGCAAGTAATAAACCTACTCACTTGTCTCATTTTTATTGTTAAGGGTGGAGATCCTGTTTACTGCAAAACGTGGGCTAAGATTTGTGAAACCAGTCGAACCGAATGTGCCAAGGTTTATCAACGCCTTCAGATTGAGCTTGAAGAAAAGGTAAAGACATAGCTCAACTTACATACTAATATTGTCTGAGGTAGAAGAATTGAAAATGGAAAAATATATATGGTTCATGACAGGGAGAAAGCTTTTACAAACCTTATATACCTAGCATGATTGAGGAATTGAGTGACAAAGGGTTGGTTGAAGAGAGTAAGGGAGCTCGTGTGATTAAAATCAAGGGGTTGGTTAAAGACAGTGAAGAAGCTCCTGTGGTCAATAACAAGGGTTTGGTTGAAGATAGTGAGGGTAACAAAAAGAGAGACTCTAACACACTCATGCTTGTAAAGAGTGATGGTGCTTACACCTATTCTACAACAGATATGGCTGCTCTTTGGTGAGTTTTTTTTTTTACTAAGTTGGTTAATCTAAAACTTGCATATTGTTAATTGTCTGCTGATGAAAAAGATCTACCTGGTCTAGGTACCGGCTCAATGAAGAGAAAGCTGAGTGGATTATTTATGTTACAGATGTTGGTCAGGCAAATCACTTTGAAACTTTCTTCAAAGTAGGTTTTTGATATTTTATTATTTGACGTCTTGTGTAATGTTATGTCTTGACTGAAGCTGTGAATTTTAACTATGGTTAACTCTTTATTCAGGCTGCAAGAAAAGCGGGCTGGCTTCCAGAAAATGATAAGACTTACCCTAGAGTTGAGCATGTTAAATTTGGTGTAGTCAATGGGGAAGATGGCAAGAAATTTAAAACCCGGGAGAGTAAAACAGTCCCATTAACTGATTTGCTAGATGAGGCCATGACTCGAAGTAAAGCTGCCATTACTAAACGTGGTATGTAACTTATGTTTACGTTTTTGGACTGCTGAAACATTCAACTGTGCAGTTATATATGTGTCTTCCTATTCTCTTATAGTCAGATTCACTTATACTCAATTGGTTTACATGTTGTTTCACTCTTTGTCTCTTTGTTTAGCTGAAGAGGCTAGAGACGCTAAGGAATGGACACCAGAGGAGATAGACAAAACAGCTGAGGCGGTTGGATATGGTGCGGTTAAGTAAGTAGTCATCTCTGTTTTACTGCTTGCTGGTGACTTTATGTAATCAAGGCTGCAATCAAATTTGATGGGTGTTTTCTTGTTATTTATACACCTAACTTGATGTTTTGTTTAACTTCCATTTCAAGGTATGCTGACCTGAAGAACAACAGATCAACACCTTATACTTTCAGCTACAACACAATGCTTGAGGACAAGGTGCTTGAACTTACCAGCTAGTTTATGTATTTGCATTTATATGCAGTCACCTATGCATGCTTATTTGAATATTTTGATCATATTTACATGACCAGGGAGAGACAGCTGTTTACCTTCTTTACGCACATACTCGGATCTGTTCAATCATCAGAGAGTCTGGCAAAGACATAGATGAGTTGAAAAAGGTATTAAAAAGCCCACATGATCTCAAAAACTGCTTAAATCTTTTGGTCCTGAGTAATGCAATGTAATTCTTTCGTTTCAACATCTACTTTGTTGCAGACAGGAAAGCTAGCATTGGATCATGTCCATGAAAGAACACTAGGGCTTCACTTGCTTCAGTTTGCTGAGGTTAAAAACACAATGCTTATTAGATATTTGACTTCTATTTCGTGGTAATTTAAGATGACCTAATGTACAACTCATGTGTGAATGTTATGCAGACGGTTAAGGAAGCGTGCACGGACTTGTTTCCTAGCGTGTTGTGCAAGTACCTTTATAATTTATCTGAAAACTTCAACAAATTCTACCTCAACTGTCGGGTAAGCCTTATTCACAAAGGATTCTACGTTTCTCCTTCGCCTAACATCGTGAAAGTAAACTGAAAAATTAACTAAACATTGTTCTAATCATATTACTTATTTTTTAACAGGTGAATGGAACAGCAGAGGAGACTAGCCGTCTCCTACTTTGTGAAGCAACGGCTATAGTCATGAGGAAATGCTTCCACCTCCTTGGTATCACTCCTGTTTACAAGATGTGAATGTATCATATCACAATCATACAATGCAAAAGAGTTTCTTTTTAATATGTTATATGACGATTCCTATATGTCTAGACAACTAATGAGAAAGGCCTTCTTTTATTCTCCCGGTTCTCACAACATGGCTGGCCAGTATGAAAAAAAATTGAATTCTTTTCTCATGTCACTGATCTTGATGAATCATCAAAAGGATTTAGAGCAAAGAGTTTTCACATCTCTTTTGAGTGGTGTGATACATTTAGAGTTTGACATGAAACAGAGTTTATTTTTCATCGGCTATCACATTTGAATAGAACTAGATTTTAACCCGCGCAACCGCGCGGATGTTTATTTTCGTTTATTGTTAATTATATAAACATTTTGTTTTCACTTGGTATATATTATAGTAATCACATATTTCCGATGTATATAGTAAATATTTTTCAAATATAATAATATTATATAATACTTGTTTTAATCAAATAGATTGTTTCAAATTTCTATATTATGTTTGTTTCTTCTTCTATATTTTATTGTTTGATAGATTAGTATTTCATTTTTAAATAAAGTAATATAAATAGAGCTGAATTAAATATTAGTATACTTTAATTTACAAAGATTATATAAACATCGAAGAAATTTTCGCTAAAAACTAAACTTATAGCTTCATAAATTAATACTATAAAGAATTTTATTTAAAAAAACAATTTTTTAAACAATTTTTTTTAAACAATATAATTTTAAAAATTTACATCGAAATAAATTTATTTAGTATATATAGCGTGTAAATTTTGTTAGAGTATATAAATATTTCAAATTACGAATCCTTAATTTTTGTTAATATATTGTGACTGCATTTAACTATTATTGACATATTTCTTTATAAATAATAGAAAATTCCTAAGCTTATATCTATTGACATATTTTGTGTGGCTAAATTGGAAAGTGTGGGGTAATTTACCCAAACCAAATTGTTAAGCGTATTTTTTTTATTATAGATATAAATTTTTTATAAGATATACTAATGATAAAATTATTAGAGAGTTAAGGTAACATGACTTTCTAGTAATAGTCCCTTTTAAAAAAAAAATCATACATGAATTCAAGTCATAACTTTTGTTTTAATATATAAGACTAGATCTCGACCCGCGCGGGTGTTTGTTTTCACTTATTTTTATAGAAATATTTTGTTTTCAATTTTTTGAAAACAATTTGTTTTCACTTCTAAATTGATACATATGTGAGATATGTATATCAATTTTTAAAAGATAATAATTTTATCATATATTAGTTTTTCATCGAATATATTGTTTCAAACCTTCACATGTACTTTTATCTTCTTCTTTATATATTGTTTTGAATTATTATTTCATTATTAAAGTCATAAATATATGTAAAGAATGGTAAAATATTGTTTTATTCTTATCTTTAAAGATATTGTAATATTTCTCAAATTTAGAAAGTTTAACAAAAATAAAAATTTTAGATTCATATTATGGAGTAAATAACTAAACATTTAATTTTTGTTATTTTTAGAATAAACTATATAACTAAAATTTTTTTATTGGTGTAAGGTAGTATAGTTTAATAATTACTAGATCTTGACCCGTGCCCCCGCGCGGGTGCTGGATTTAACTTCTATTTAACATAAATTTATAAACAATTTAAATTTATAAAATTCCTATATATTTTTTTATGTTTTGTAAATTCCATTTAGAGTAAAATATAAGACAGTTCTCTTAAATAGACTTTTTAAGTTTTTATCACAAAATAGATCATAAAAACTAAAATTAGCAAAATAATATTTTTTATTTTGAAAACTTTAAGTTTTCTTTTTTTTAAAAAACAAAATTTGAAACCCTAAACTCATAACTTCAGTTCTCAACTCTAAACAAAAAGGTATAGGATTAGTTAACCCAAATGGTATAAGTGTATATTTACATATTTTTATAAAATATTTAAGTTTATTTTGGTCATTTTTATTTTGAAGTCTATATTTGTGACAAAAAAAATAGGTCTATCTTAGTAAATTTCTATTAAATATATTATTTATAATATCGATTTAATAACAATTTTTAATCTGTACATAATATTACATCTATAATTCAGTAACTTAATGTAATTTGATGTAAGTGTAATATTCATATATTAACTTCTTGTTTTTTTTATATAAAAATGGTTTAATTGTTTTTGTTTTAGTTTTCAATCACTTTATTATATAGTTTTATGATATTTTATGTTATTGAAAACTGTATTAGCAGATTAAAATAAATATTATATTATCTTTTGTGTTTTTATAATCACCATAAAAAACAACCATAAATTGTACAACAATATTGTAGTTCAGTTTATTTTATTTTTAAATCAATATATGTCAATTATTTAAAAAAATTCGGCTAGATTATATAATAAAGTGAATTGAATCATAAAATTGGGATACACTATATAAAAATTTTAATCTGTCAATTATTTAAAGAATTGGGCAGACCCATATTATTCTTATTTTCACTATGTCGATTAGTTCACTAATTAATCTGGGAAAATAACGTATTAGCCAAAAAGACAACAACGTTTTTGCTTTCTCCTAAACTTCTTCGTAGCCGCTTCGGTCTCTCTCTCTCTCTATTTGATCTGATCTTTGTGTCGAGATTACTCTAGAAAACCCGGTCAAACATAAAATCTGAGGAATCCGAATCTGTGATCATCAGATTGTTCATCGATATATTGTATAAGAGGTTAGACTGTTTATACTCTGTTTATTCGAGAAGGATTAGTTTTTTTTAATCATAAAACGTATTCCAATCTTTCTTAGATCTGTCATCTAGCACAGTAGATTGGCCATCTCAAATCGTCACGCTGTCATAGCACGTAATAGGTAAAATCAGTGTTAATTTCCAATATTTGTATACAGCGAAATTCAGTTACATGATGACCATATATTGGAATCAGTGCAAGGTACCGAAAAGAAGAAAAAGGAGATGATTAGATCAACGCTTTCTATTGATTATGTTAGCATATTATATGGTCGACATGGAAGAAGCAAAGTTAGTTTTCTATTTCTCTTTTTTCACTTGTGTTAGAGAAGAAAGATGATCCAGAGATGTTCTATTTTTAATATGCATTGTTTGTTCTGCCGTTTCTATAGCTCACAAAGAAAAGACAGCTTTGATTATTTATAGTTGATAGATTTTTTTTTGTTTTTTTTACTTGTGTTCCAGAGATGATCCTAAGGAAGCATTATTCCCTATTTATAATTTGACTATGAGCATAAGCAGCGTCAGGTTTACATCTTATAGAACTCTTTCCTTATGCTTTTGAAAATAAGGACAACTTACCACCCTGTGAGCAGGAGAAATAGAGTATTAGAGTATGTTCAGTATTGTAATTTAGATAAATATACGTAAGAAAATAATTTCTTACTGTTTCATCTGTAAGGACGCACTCAAGTGTTTCTCATCTCCTTCAAAGTTCTGTTTTCACAAATGAAGCATCTTCACACGTACTCTCCACCCGGTTTTGTATGGCTTGACATCCTTAAGAAGGTTACAACTCACGTCACTCGACATTTCTTGGGGTGTTTTTATATTTGGTGATGGGTTGAGAATGAAGAATTTGAGTCGTAGACGGATATCTATATATATGCTCACGAAAATTGGTGAGCACGTTAAATATCACAAGGAAAATCTAACCATTAAGATATTTCTTGATTCTATGGTTGATATATATTTGGGTATATTCCTTTTCATTTTACGAAATACATCAATATATAGTTATATTTGTTTGCGATGATTTAGGTAACTAATTATGGAGGCATTTGATGGCTTTTATGAAGATAAGGAAGCAATAGAAGAGATTTGGAAATATATATCTTGTAGAAAAGAAGACGTGGATGAAAATTTAGTTTAGAAATTAAGGTAATCATATATTTTTCTAGATTGGAACCGAGAATCTAGCCTATTATGTCTACTAATTAATACAAACTCTCGATTTTATTAAGATATTCGCATGCTATTGGTTTCAATTTTGGTCTAAATTGTGTGACTATAAATTACGAAAAGGACACTAATAAAGGCAGAAAAAACGTTATCTCATGTTAACCTTGTGTCCAAACAACAGCAAAAAAAAATTAGAAGTCTGCTATCCTTGTATCCAAACAATACCAAAAGGTACTTCAGTTTTAATAATATAGATTAGAAAATGATGATTTGTGTTATTTTAAAAATCAAACTATATAATTTTAAATGTTAATATCAACAAATATATTATAAATAATTAACCTATAAAGATATACTATTACAACACTAAATCATATCCATTTAATTTAAACATATGTTATTATATTATCTATAAATTCAATGGGTTATCCAATTATTGTTAACCCAATAAAAATTTTGGGTAAGCCCAAAATTATATGTAACTAATTTTAAGGTTACTAATCAATGATTAAATAATGTAATATGACAAATTCTAGTAGATGTCCATTTTAAATATCACACATTAAAAGAGTCATGACTTCTGTTTTAATATATACTAGATTTTGACCCGCGCTTGAAAAGCGCGGAAATATTTTATGATTAAAAATTTATATAAATGGGTTTTGTCTTAATTTAAAGAATGTTTTGGTATAAAATTAGTTTACCAAAATTTGTGGTGATAGTTGTTTTCATTAGTTTTTAGTTTCAGTTTTTATTTTTAGATTTTGTTTTAAATTTTTGTTTTTGGTTTTTAGTTTTTAAGTTTTCATTTTTGATTTTCAGCTTTTGGTTTGGGTTTTTAATTTTTAGATCCACTGAGTTAGTTTGAACTGATATTACCAACAAACAAATCTCAATTAATCAAACATGTAATTTAAAACTGAAAAGATGACAAAATAATTTTCTAAAATTTTTGAAATAGTTTATTTTGTAAATAAAAAAGAATAAAAAATATAACCTGCGTTTTCAGCTTTTTGTTTTGGATTTTAGTTTTTAGATTTAGTTTTTGGTTTTGCTTTACATTTATTTAAAATCTGTAAATTATTTAAGAAAAATAAAACAATAAATTATTTAAAATTTACCATTAAAATTTATCAAGATAGAGGGATTGTTATTTAAAATAAAATATATTAACATGTTTTAAAGTACATGATTTAAATAAGTGATTAATAATTGATAATTTTGTTTTGTTGAAAATATTAAATATTTTTGGGCTATTAAATGTTAACATGTTTTAAAGTACATGATTTAAATAAGTGATTAATAATATATAATTTTGTTTTGTTGAAAATATTAAATATTTTTAGCCTGAAAATAGTAATTGATTTTTGATCCATTAAGGTGGAAAGTTTATTTAATGTTTTTTGGAGTTTTTCTTTAATACTAAGCCCAAAAACCAAACAATTAAATGTCATAAAAACAAAAGTAAGCCCAAAACTTTATTCCATAAATAACTGTCGGTTTAATTTAAGTAATGCGGTTCAGTCAACTATATAACTTGTATTATTTGTAACACTCTAGAAAAGGTTCAAATTTAAATGAAAACTTGTATCAGTAGATAAAAAGAATGACTCTATTTTAATAGAATAGAAGATGAGATGACATAATATGATGGTAGATGTAAAAATAATTAAAACTTGATTTGGTTATTATGTCTCTGAATTTATTTCTTTTTTCATTGTGCATTCAGAAAAAAAAACCTTTAATGTTAAACTTGTATGAATTAGAGTAACTTAGGTGATGGATAATCTATTGAAAAGTGTCAACAAAACAGAGAAAATTACATGATAATTACAAAGTTGTCTTTTGAACTGAATGTAAATAAAGTCCACACGTATATTTTAAATTCAATATTAGCTATAACTAACTATAAGACTCGTATATTTTATCTGATAACTTCGATATGGTTTGATGTGAACTAACTACTCGAACCTAATGGACATGATTACAGATTTGAAGAATTTGCCAATTTTTACGACATAGATCGAAATATTCAGAAATTATAAGGGGATTTCGAAAATGTAAATCCGTTCACATATACCTCAGAGTAAGAATATCAAACGGACGCGTTAGCAAAAGAAACAAAGATCTAAATCTATATATTTTCTTATATAGATCAGATTCAGTTAGATAGATGTGCTCTTAAAAGAATCGGTTCGTCTGACCACTATTTAATCTAATTTAAATGGAGGGCTGACAAGAAAAAGTTTGTTAACTATCAAACATCAAATTCAGAACATGGTTAGTAGTGTTTCAAAAAAAAAAAAAAGAACATGGTCTAGTAAATGAATTTCATAATAAGGTTTCTCATTTAATTATTTTTGATAACATTTTTTATTTTAGTTTATTAAAGTCTTTAGGTCTCTCCTCCGAAAAAACAGGGGAAGGGAAGAACGTCGCATCCTGACTTTCTTACCAATCGTTAGGATCAGAGCTTTTGAGACTTTGGTGCTGCTAAATGGCAGCTCTTTCAGCGGTTCTGTCTCTTGGTTTCGTAACTCTTCGCCCTTCACGCCTTTCCTTCTCCTCTTTCAACCCGCTCCGGCAACATACATCACTTCTCCGATGCCAAAGTCTTGTCCTTTCGAGGTCTCCGCTTAACAGGGTTCTTCAGGCTTGTCTTCAATCCAGTAATTATCTAATTAAATATGACTCGATTCCTTTCATGGGTTTGCATTAGATGATTCATTGAAATCAATCATTCATATCTGAAAAAAATTCAAGCTTTGTATTCATTTTTATAAAGTATTCATTTTTAATATAAAGATTGTGTTTCAACGGTTGTGTGTATTAGATAATGCAAATGCTGGTGATGCTCCGGTTACATCAAATGGAGACCATTCTGAGATTGTGTTTATGGGTACTGGAACTAGTGAAGGCATCCCTCGTGTTAGCTGTCTCACTAATCCTCTCAAAACATGTTCGGTATTTTTCTCTTTTTTTTCATTGTTGACTGTTTGTTCATCTTTGGTTTCAGTGGGATCCCATTTGAAAAGAAAGAATCGATTTTTGATTGTTCTAGGTATGTAAAAAAGCAACAGAACCTGGAAACAAGAACAGGAGACTTAACACTAGCATTCTTGTTCGGTACACTAGACCATCTGGAACAAGTAACATCCTCATTGATTGTGGCAAGTAAGTACAATGGGCATCACTGTTGTGTTTTGTGAGATTGATTCCATTTCTTGCTTGTGGCAAATGCTTACATTAGAAAAGAGAGGTTGAATCCATCTTTTTAATACTCCTTCCGTTTCACAATGTGTGATGTTTTCATATTTCTAAGTAATTTTTAACTTTATTAAAAAATTATATCGCCAGTGATATTTATAATTGGTTGAACTAAATTTATAGTTTTTTAGCTAAAAGTGATAATTGTGCATTAAGAAAACATCATACACTTTGGAACAGGAGTATAAGGTATTTGGTGAGATTGATCTTAGAGCATATGATTTTCATTTTCTTTCTTGTATGCTTACGTTCTTACTCCTTTCTTCTTGCAGGTTCTTCTACCATAGTGCACTTAAATGGTTTCCCACCTTCGGGTTAGCTTTTATCCATAAACTAGCATACAGTTCTCATAAGAGTTCTTGGAAACTCTTCATTACATTCTCTGATACTATTTACACCAATTTATTATTGTTTGTTGTACTATGAACAAATATTGTTTGTTTATTATTACATTCTGATTTTTTTTGCTTCCATGGCCATCTCCATGATACCTAGTTGTGTTATTTTTGTTTCCAGGCTAAGAACACTTGATGCGGTTGTAATTACTCATTCTCATGCTGATGCAATTGGAGGTCTCTGAAACTGACAAGTTAAACCTTGCCCCATCCATCTTTTTTCTTTATCCTGTAAAAGCTATGATGTTGAAGTCTTTTGCTCCATTGTTTTTGTTTGTTTGTTTTTGCTTTCCAGGTCTTGACGATCTCCGTGATTGGACAAACAATGTCCAACCTCATATTCCAATTTACACTGCTATGCGTGATTTTGAGGTTAACTTGTTTTACAACACACGTTAGAACATTTCCCTTATCTCTCACAATATTACATAAAGGCTCTGTACACATGTGAATCTCAGGTGATGAAGAAGACTCATTATTACTTGGTTGATACGAGTGTGATCATACCAGGCGCTGCAGTCTCAGAGTTGGAGTTTAAAATCATTCACGAGGATCAGCCATTCATAGTAAAAGATCTAAAGGTAAGTTGGGTTCTTCTGCTTCTAGGTTTCATTACTACAAGAACTATGAATGATCTTGGTGTGGTGTTTGAACTGTTTCAGATAATCCCATTACCAGTGTGGCATGGAAGTAATTACCGTTCCCTTGGTTTCCGGTTTGGTGACGTCTGCTACTTAAGGTAAACAAACACACACTTCCCTTTACCTTAATTTCACATCTTTGAATCATCATTTTATAAAACATATGCAGTGATGTGAGTGACATACCTGAAGAAACTTACCCGCTTCTTAAAGACTGTGATCTCCTAATTATGGTAATTTCAACTCTATTGTTCTTCTATTAACAATAGATAGCTTCTTACCCAAGAAACATCTGTTTCCTCTCTTTTTCTAGGATGCTCTGAGGCCTGATCGTTCTTCAGCAACACACTTTGGCCTCCCAAGGGTACCAAGCTTGTCCTACTCTTACTATTGTAAACAACTTTTCTTGTCATAGATTTTTCTTCCATCATTATGTTTTACGTTTTCATTCTCCCTTCAGGCGTTAGAGGAAGTTCGGAAAATCAAACCAAAAAGAACACTTTTCACCGGAATGATGCATTTGATGGACCATGAGAAAGTGAGTGAAGAGCTAGAGAAACTCATGGACACAGAAGGCCTTGATGTCAAGTTAAGCTATGATGGTCTTCGTGTACCAATCTCGATTTGACTCGGTTTATTAGTATTTTTCCTGGTATAACCAGTTCATACCGCAAATAAAATATTTAATTGCTTGTACCTGTCTTGTATTCTGTACGCAAGTCACCCAATAGATTTTTATTTTGGTATTAATATAGTTTGGTTTAATCGAACCGGTTTGGGTAAATGGCTGCTTTATGTTTGGTTAGTGTGGGGAACCAGTGAAACGTGGCGTTTTTTAGAGACAATGACAAGAGGAAGACAATAAACGGAAAAACATGGGAACGAGTGTTGTTCTTAACAGAGCCGTGCCTCCGTGAGATCAAATTAAACCCTCGCTTAGGGCAACCGATTTTTATAAAAAATTAAGGCCATCATCCAAGACTAATCATAGGTACAGACTAAGGGTATAAAATTATTGTAAGAAACATTAGTCTATGTGATGATAGCATTTAGGTAATTAGAATCAAGAAAAATTGGAAGTATGATAAAAAAATTTGAGTTTCTTAAATGAAAAATGAAAACAGTTGCTACTTATTAGAAAATACTAAAACTAGAATAGTTAGATGCTTTCTAAATGTTTTTAATGCTAAAACAGATAAAATTGTATCATTTTGAGTATTGTATAAGAAACATTGACTTATTTTATTTGTCAAAAAAAACATTGACTGATTTTATCTCTAAATCCAACTAAAAAGAATATTTTTGTAAAAATAGATAATAATTTTTAATTAATATTTTATTTATTAATTTAATTTAAATATTTATAATCTATAGTAATTGGTATTATTATTTTTAATGCAGAAGTTTTTATGAACTTTTTTCTCGCTTATGATAGGTATAAACCTTCGCACGGCTCTGGTTCTTAAGGGCGTCAGCGACCAGATTGCATGGCTCTGTTCTGCTTAAAATTCAATTGAATCTTCCCATGTGTTATTGTCGGTCTTGTACGCATGCCAAATCCAAAATTTAGGAAATCTTACTCTCTCTTTTTTTCTTTTTTCTTTTTTAATTTGTTTACATTATTTTTGATAAATTGGAGATCATGTAACATATGTATAATAGTTTCAAAAAAAATAGGAAACTAACATGAATGTCTTGTTTTCCGGCTATGCTAATTCTCCGACGTGTCTATTGCGGAAGCCAGGTGACCTGAGAGGATTCCCTGATGATTAAATATATCTATTCTTATAAATTAAACTATGTATTAAAACTAGTTCAGGTTGTGCATGTGTTAGTACTAAGGCAAGTGGTGGAAAACGAAGTAGATGAAAGTCAGGTGCGATTGTTAAAAGTAACTTAATTACTTTCATGGGATTAATCATTAACTATTTTATTTGGTTGGTAGAATCTATGTGTGAAAACGTCATGGTTAAAAGCCTGGTGACCACCAAAAAAATAATAGGAACAACGAAAAAATGTCGGAAGAGAAACAAAATAATAGGAACACTTGTTCCATGTTATTCCTCTCCGGATTTGATAAGGAATGGTTTTATTCTTTGATTCTTTAAACTAAAAGGAACATTGAAGAAAAATTATTCCTTATAAATGGTATCAAATTTAAAGAATGAAGAGAAATTAACTATTATGATTCCTTATAAATGGTGTCAAATTTAAGACATAAAGAAGAATTAACCATTCTCACACATTCCTTTGGTTACCAGTCAAAGTCTTAGTGGTTTTTAAAAAAAAAATTACACAAAATATTATATTTCTATTTTCAGATTATAGGATCTAATCTTATAAAAAAATTAGAAACAAAATTTGTTACGTATATTACAGGAGAAAATATGACTATCAAGATTGTCATACATGCAAAATTGTCTGTTGATCTGAGTGTTAAAAAGATGGTTTCAGCTTTTAATTATTCTCGGTTCACAGAATATGAAATTTTGCAAATTATAGATTGTGAGCTTATTAGAGGTTTCAAAATATTGTACTCATGGTTATTCGTTGTGATCATATATTGCAAAAAGAACTTATTTATCAAAGATGTTGTACATGTTGTCTGTTGATCCGATCGTTGAAGAACTTCGACATAAACTATCTCTGAAATTATTCATTAATATTGCATATGTTGCTAATAGTTTAACTTCAATTATACACGTAGTATATCATTATTTGTCATAGAAATTATATATTGTTGTACTGGTGTTAAAAGAAAAAAAAACTAATGTTCTCTTGATACAGTCCGCTCGTGAACTCGCTCGGCTAATTGACTCTATAATCTATACGCTGTAACTCACTAATCTTTGGATCTTATCTTATTTTGAATGACATAATTAACAATATCACATTTTATGACTATCTTGTATGCAATTAAGAAAAATAAGTCAACCAGACCTTGGTTTTTGGTTGAACCAGATCTGTTATTTATAATCGGAGTCTTTAGAATCACCTAACATGTTAAGACGCACATGTTTTCTAATGATCTAGAAAATGGTTGTTTTATGTGGTGTCAGAATATGATATTTGTTACTATGATCTAAAAGCAATCCATAGCTGACATGGAGACAAGGACGTATAATCTTTTTAGATCCATAATTTATGGACACTTGAATAAAATAGTATACACATGCCTATCCAAGTTTCAATGTTTTATTTTCTTGTCAGCCCTTACTGTTTTGCTTTCTTTTTGCCGAAAAGGGTCGTCGAGTTAAATTATTTTGTTCATTTTTCAACATTGACTTTTTGAAACGATTTCCCTATGTTTGATTTGTGACTATGCTTATTATTTGAGAAGATTTAGTTTAAACCATTTGATCTCGTGATTGTGGGATATATATCATCAAAAGAAAACAATTAGGTTGTATTCAAATCTGATCACACCTTTTGTATAAATGGGTTTTTTGTAAAGGTAGTTTAATGTGTGGGCTGAACTGGTGTTTCATATTGGGAAAAGGATCGAACAAATCACATTAAAAAGCAAAATAACTGAGGAATAAAACAAGATCAATACAAAAGGACGAATTATATTTTATATTGTTATAACTTATTTTACAAAATATATTTTTAGACAGCCCAATTAATATATGTTGATGAAACATGCTCTTAATTTACCTTTTAAGTATAAGATTTACATATGGTTTAGCAAAATAAATTAGATAAATCGTTTGGGCACTTTATATAAATACAAACGCAGTTAACAATATGACGGCGGCCAACGTATCGTACAACTTCTAGCACCTAGAAAGCGTGATCGACTAGCCCACCGGGCCTAAGCCCATACCATGACAGAATTTTTAAGCGTTCACTTAAGGGTTACTGGTTACGCTAAGTGGTCTGGAGCGCCACACCAACTCCGCAGGTAAATTATGTGGTGGTCGGGGTTCGAAGTCGGATGGCGGACACCTCAGCCGAGATTCCTTGACCACCAGGCTACGAAGCCCGGTTAAGAGCACATTACTACAAATTACCATAGGTGCTAACCATTTTTTATTACAAGGGGAGATTCTAAACACACGTGTGACACCGTCAGTCCGTCACCAATTAGAACCAGTGGCGAAGCCACGTTAGAGGCTTTGGGTGCAAGTGCACCCACAATTATATTAAAATCCAAACTTTTGCAAACAAAAACAGTTAAGTTCGGGTAGCTAGAATGGTAAAAGTGCGTATATGTGCCCCAGTATCTTAGGTTTGATACTTACCAAAGTGTTTTTTAATCTTTTATTTGCAATAGTGCACCCAGTACTTAAAAGTTCTAGATTCGCCCCTGATTAGAACATAACCTAATTTTCTTCTTATTATCATACACACATGACTTTGATTGGCTAGACGGCCTTTCAATTAGAACGTTTAGAAATGTCCACTACTCTTTTTTTTTTTTGCTGAACACCATCCACTACTCTATAATTCGTTTTCGATTTGATTTTCTTTTCAAGTTTTGCATCACCATACCGTATATACTATATTAACCCCCATATATGTGTATAACTTTCCAGTAATTGTACTTTTGGACCAAAGTAAGTTAGGGCATGCGGCACTGACAATGATTAATCCATTTAAATTATTTTCATCGATGTAAACTATCTCATTACTTTTTATTTTGACATGAAAGGCATCAAAATTAAAAAGGAAAAGAAAAGAAGATGCAACAGAAAAGTAACCTTTTTATTCCAAAACCTCAAATTTTAATCAGTGATTCAATCATAGCTTAGTTCCGTAAGTGACAGTAAAGCTGTAAAAGTAATTAAACTCAACTCATAAATCAATTACATTTGAATAAATGGGAAAATACTCATATAATTTTGTAATGTCTTGACCATCCATAGCTAATAGACTATCTACGCTTGATTTTTCAACATGCGGATTATATCCCTTTCCAACGGTCGATCCATTAATTTTTCCAGAACTCAAAATTATTGTTAACTGACTCTGTAATCATCACCAGACTTTTTTCGTGATTTGACCTCACTCAAATGATATCGTGAATTACTTCCCGATAACTCACTCATCTTTTCAGTACTCCAATCCTAACACACTTAATTCTTGAGTTTTAAACGGATGTGTGACGGAAAAGGTAAGTCGACTCTGGTGACATATAATAACCAAATAAATTTTCTTAAATGTTTCCAAATACCACAAACTGGAATATTACAGATTTATTCACTAAATTTGGTCACAAACATTTCATGTGTGTTATAGTAATTCAGATTCATGAAGAGTAGGAAAACAGTGAAATTTATTACTACAACGCAAGATAATGAAATAAATTAATTCAAATGTCTACTGCTACTCCAGAGAGGAAAAGTACTAGAATAAAAGAGCTCCTTCTCAAAGCTTTTCACAGAGCTTGTGAGAAAGTTATACAGTATTTATCTTTTTGCCACAGCTTTACCAAAAATAAAAGAAATTATATTTTCAATAATAAGTATTGTGGAAAGACAAATCTAAAAAAAAAACACGGACAACACATTTGCAGGTAATGATAAAGTAAGGACAGATTGCTCTTCGCTTGTAAGAAAAAATATATAAAAAGAGCAGAAAATGCCATTTTTTCTTAGCGGTAGGGTTCCTTTTTCTGCATTTTATTTTATATTTTGAATTTTATTTTTTTCTGTATTTTATTTCAGGGGTGTCAAAGAGGAACATAATAGAGTTTCTCTTGTCCACAATCTCTCGCTCTCTTTCCACTTCTAGGTATATTGGATCGTCGTCCTTCTTTTGTTTTCTTTTGAAATTTTACTTTGTCAAGTTCTTGTTCATATGTTATGTCTAGTAATTTGTTGTTTTGTTTCATTGGGACTAATTCTTGTTGATTTTGAACATAAACCAGAAAAGTGGGTGTAGGTTGTCTCTTGGGTTGAAGCCAAAGAAGGAAGTTAGGATTATAAAAAGAGAGGCTCATTTCTTGTATGTATTTGTTTAATCCTCTCTTTTGTATCCGTTTATTATCAGTATATGTCTATATGTATCGATATATATATAGATCTGAAAAAGTTTTTATGCTTCTTATTTTGTCTAAAGATTTTATTGAAGAGTAGCAAAGATATGTTACTTCAGCAAGTACATCAACAACAACAAGAAAATATGTCGAATCTAACATCTGCTTATGGGGATCAAGCAAGTGTCTCTTCTGGAACCAGAACTGAAGCAAGTGGTTCTAGTTACTTCACTAATCATCAACAACAGCAAGAACAACAACAGTTGATTGTTCCTGAATCTCAGCCTCAAAAAAGGAGGAGGAACCAACCAGGAAATCCAGGTTCGTGTGAAAAGAATGGTTATAGAACACAACTTTTTTTTCTTGGTTTTGGACTTTCATTATTCCAATTATTTGATACACTCATCTTCTTGGAAAATAATGGGTCTCTCCCAAAAAGAATATTCTTTTTACTCTTTTTGTTCTCTTTATCATCTCTACTATAAACAAAGAAAATTAACAAAAAAAAATTAACCAAAAAATTCAATAGTATTTTCACTGAAAGTTTTGATTTTAAGAACATGTGTATTGTTCAAAATTTTCTCGTGTGTGGTAAATATAGCTTTCCTCAGTATAATTACTATATTAAGCTAAAACACCAATCGCAATTTTATTAGTGTTAGTTTACCCATTATCAGAAAATTTTATTAGTGTTTTTCAAGTTCTTACTGACAATGCATTCAACTTTCAATATATTTTTATTTCAGACCCAGAATCAGAAGTGGTTGCTTTATCACCAAAAACACTAATGGCAACAAACAGATTCGTGTGTGAGATCTGCAACAAGGGATTCCAAAGAGACCAGAATCTACAGCTTCACAAGAGAGGTCACAATCTGCCATGGAAGCTGAAACAACGATCCAACAAAGAAGTGATAAGGAAGAAAGTGTATGTCTGTCCAGAAGCAAGCTGTATCCACCATGACCCATCTCGAGCTCTTGGTGACTTGACCGGAATCAAGAAGCATTTCTGCAGAAAGCATGGCGAGAAGAAGTGGAAATGTGACAAATGCTCAAAGAAATATGCCGTTCAGTCAGATTGCAAGGCCCATTCTAAGACCTGTGGCACCAAAGAATACAGATGTGACTGTGGCACTATCTTTTCTAGGTAAATAAACTCTTATTTTATTTCTATTATTTAGATGATTTTAGAAAATATATACATACACGTATATATAGTAATTACAATTACTGGTTTTGAATTTGGGATATGTTGTGGTGTTGTAAGAACTAGAGGGGCACATGCATATTCTGTTTTGAAATGAGTAAATTTTCATTAAATTGGAAAGAGGACAAGAATGGTAGCTCAAGAGAATCTTCATTAATAATATGAAACTAGTTCAGGGTACTTTTCTTCCTTTTTTTTTCTCTTTAAATTTTTATATGTGATTTTCTTTCACCTTTTCTTACATTAACCATTCATCTTAAAATACACATGTGATTGATGCATGCTTTATATGGACCACATGAATTTCATAGCTTCTCTGAACGTGACATTTCTTGGTATTTATTAACAATGTTTTTGATTATTTTATGGCTTTGTTGTTTGGTAAATAAACAGGAGGGATAGTTTCATAACTCATAGAGCATTTTGTGAAGCACTGGCTAAAGAGACTGCCAGAGAAGTAGTAATACCACAAAACCATAATCATCAACCCAACCATATTTTAATTAACCAGTCCACTTCTAATCTTCATCATCAAGCACAACCAAACATGAACGTCTCTTCCCACAACATCATCAATAGCCTTCACTTTAAAACCAACAACAGTGGTACTAACAATAGTAATAGTAGCAGAACCCATCTTCCAGTAAAGAAAGAGAAACAACAAAGCAACGATCATATCATCAACTACCACAACCGAAGCATACCTCCTTGGCTTGCGTCTCAAGATCTTACATTTTCAAACCCTAACCCTAATAATAGTGGAGAATGTTTATTCTCTCTTGCAGCTTCCCCGGCTATGTCAGCCACCGCATTGCTCCAGAAAGCAGCCCTAATGGGTTCCACAAAGACACCTCGTTTACCACTGACCACGGACTTCGAGAGTTCAGCTCATCATAGCAACCTCACCACGACAATGGCGGCAATGATGACGTCACCATCTGGATTTTTCAGCTCCAACAACAACAATAATAATCAAGTTTCGTTTCAAGGCTACCACGGTGGAGAAGAAGCCTTAGACGACACATACAGTGTCTTCTTGAGGACAAACGCTGATACTACAAGTACAACCACAGGTTCAGACAAGAATAAAAGCAGTGGAGTAGGAGAAGGTTTGACGAGAGACTTTTTGGGGCTAAGACCGTTAATGTCACATAACGAGATTCTAAGTTTTGGCGATCAGCTTCATCCAAAGCCTTGGCAGGGTTAGTTAGTTTCTTTGTTTATATAATTATGAATCTATCTATAACCTTTAATATTTATATTTGTGGTATGTGTATACATATTCAGTTTTATACTTCTATAGCCATTTTGTCCTTATATGCTAGAATTTCACCAGAGGAGGATAAAAAATGGTGCAAGCTTATACATAAATATTTGATTAAATTTGTTACGTTTTTGCTTCTGATTTCTTTCGTTTGTTCATGATTATTTCTGGTCAACTATAGTTAATGTCTTGGTAATATAAATGGGGAATATTGCACGTACGTTAGGAGGTATCTTAAAATAAATACGTAAATACGTATGTACTTTCATTTTCCTACATACATAAATTTTGTAAAGGACGCTGCTACATATACAAACTGTTACATAAACATGAGTAAATAAGTTGGTGTCAGTTTTTATTGTTACCAAGAAAGTGAAAATGGATAAAAGTAAAAATAAATATTTATAGTCATAGGTTTTGCTTAATTACATGCATGTTTCCACTAATAGTGATCAGGTTAAGTATTCAAGTATTGTCAAATGGCTTTGATCATAATTTCACTGGGTTCTTTTCATGATATAAGTGCACCTCCAATCTCAGCTTTAGTTATCCTCCAAGTTAAGTACTTCTGTCACGTTATGAAAGTCAATTTTCTTTAGATGCAAAAGCCTTTTTGGTTTGTATTTTTGTTTACGATCATTTTCAAAATGATTAGGTACTTGATACCTTAAAGAAAAGTAAGAAAAAGGAAGAGAAGAGAGTTTGATATATAAGATATTAATTATGAAATGTGGCACATGATGAAAAGCATGAAGTGAAGTGGATGATATGCATTGGATTCGATCTAAGGATGACTCATCTTAAGCTAACCTATTTCTAAACTTGAAGTGCCAAACAATAGATTAATAAGAAGTATATAAATGCACCGATATCTACATATCATATATTATTTGTTCTGATTAGTTTTCATCTCATGCAGGCATGGGATCAACAAAAGAGAGGGACGCATCACTTTTTGTTTGGTGGCATGTATAAAATTTATGTGCATCAGTAGATGTCACACATGGGCTGCCACAACTTTTTAGTATTCCATTGCTAACTACACATTAAAACGTTCATTAAATTAATGATTAATTTTTCACTTCGCATCTCTTTATCATTTAATATATCAAATTATGGATTACTATATAATTGAAAATTTCAAAATTTGTTGTAATAAAATTATTATTGATAATTGATAAATGAAAATTTTAAAGAACTATTGATGACTGAAATCTTACACATAAAATTATACCATGGTACTATTCTAAAATTCATTTTCATCAAAGTAAAACAAATTAAAATAAACAAAATGCTCCGGTTTGAATATGCATCAAATTTATTTCACCACAAGTTAAAATGATCACTTGTATAGATTTTCTTGCGATGATTTCACTAAAACTGATATATGTTACGAAAGAGTTAGAATGATGTAGCGAAGATAAGCATAAACCGGCTCCTGGGGGTTAATAACATCATAAATGTTTTTTTTTAAAGGAATGATATTTTTTCACATGCAATAAAGTGTGGAAAATGACTGAAATAAATAAAGATGTCTTCTTGTTTTTCCTCGAGGCTGATGTGACACATGTTTGACAAATTTATTATTTCTGATAACTAAATAGCATTAAACCTTTTGGTTTGGAATTCTTAGATTCTGTTAAATACGAGTTTTAATTTTTTTAGATTTTAATTAAAAATAATTAAAAATTATCTTTTAATAAGAGATATAAAAAACAGTTTTTAGTCAAAAAATGTAATAAAAATATCAAATTATGAGTTGAAAAATCTCAGATAAAAGACCGAGATTAATTATGTTCTTATATAAATTGTAAAAATCCAAAACTACAATTAAATATGACAACCCTTTGATAAAAAAAATATCTGTGTATTTTATTTTAGTTGATGTTCAAAGTTAATAAACATAAATTAAAATTATAAAAGATTTATATAATTTATTTTGATTATAGTCTATAGAATGCATTATTAAACAAAACTAATTCAAGTTATATAGGATATAAAATTATTTAATTGGTCATGAATTTCAAAAAAAAAAAAAACTTTTATCTAGAATAATAAGAATACCATTTATTTGGCAAAAATAAATAAACATCAAATAAACTGATACAGAGGAAATCACATTTATGCATTTTTCATATATATGGGAAAACTATAACTCAATTTCAGTGTCATAATTTACAATAAGAAAAGATTATAATATATTTATTTCGAACACACAATAGATGAAGAAATTGTTATAATTTAGCGAGAAAAATCTAACAAAAATTCGTTCAGAAAGATTGATTAGATAGTAGTCATCAGTTAACTACTAGTTATTTAGAGTGTATAGGTAGCATATGATCACAAATGGTTGCTTGCTGAGAGGTGTATTCGTATAACCACACTAAAAAAAGGTATTCATATAATTATAACCACGTCTGCAAAAAGGAATGGTGACTCCTGTTAAATTCATTCTTTAGAAATTTTAGCAAAATAATTATATACCACAAGACCAGATCTTTATGTTGTCCAAAATAACAGTGAAGTAAAAAAAAACATAGATGTAAAAGGTGTCAAAGACAGAAGGACCCATGAATTTGTCGATGTCATGATGATTGATGAGCGATGCATTTGTAAGGTTTACTTTTGTCTGGTTTTAATGAAGTGATCCCACAATCACTATTTTACTTGTTTGTTTTGTTTGCACGTGAAAGAATAACTTTTACAAATCGTTATGTTAACATACAATAATGCTTGTAAAAATTCTACAAATTAGTAACCAATCAATTAATGTCATGCATACAAAAAAAAAGGAAAAATGATTACCAACTACCTGAAGTATCGGTCATCACATGACTGACCATGCAAAGTAAAAAAATGCACACTCAACTACACGAAATATATGGTATGCATAGTAACATCCATGAACTTTATGTTGTTATGTAGCTAACATCACAAGGCTAATAACAATTAATTATATCACAAGATCAATTAGATTTATAATAAATATAAAATATAAAAGCGTTTTAAGATATGGAAAACCTTTTTATATTTTATTTTTTATTATAATGAACATTTTATTTTAAAAAGTGTTATACAACAACATTAAAATTTAATTTTATTTCATAAAAAATTATAACTTTATATTAATTTATATTTTTAATAATTTTTAGTTTATCCTTTATTTTTCTATATGGTTTTTTAGGTGAAATTCTATTTTTACCCTATTTGTTGTAGCACAATTCATTTTTTCTTCATTAAGGATATATTTTTACAAATACATTTTTCACTAAATGGAAAAAGACTTTTCTACCAATTTTTATAAACATATATAAATATAAATAATTATGTAAATAGTTAAGTCATTAAAAAATATTTTTCAAAACGTTTTATCTCTATAAAATGTCTTTATAAACATTTTCAATAAACAAAAATTTAAGTATTTTATTCCAAAAAGCTTTTGTAATAAAAAATTAATAATATTAAAAACATTTTAGTTTATTGAAAATGTTTATAAAGACATTTATAAAGATATAAACATGTTTTGAAAAATATTGTATATATGACTTAAATATTTAAAATCCAAAATTTATTTTTATATATAAAACATTTTATTTAACCTAACACAAAATAATAGGGAACTTTTACTTTTACCTCATTTTTGATACCATTATTCATGTGTACCTTCCTTAGATGAACATTTTCAAATATACCTAATTATGTAGTTTCATTACAAAAAACAAATACTTTTCTATCCTTACATTATAAAAATAAATAATTATTTAAAGCATATATAAAAATAAATTCTAAACTAACAAAATATTAAAATATGTAAAATTAAAATAAAGTTATTTTTTCTAAAATAACATTAATTTTAATATTATTGTATAATTTTTTTTAATAATTTTTTTTAATAATAAAAAATCAAATAAAATGATTTTTTCATTTCTTAAAACGTTTTTCATATTTGTATTTTTATTAATGTAATTAGCTTTGTGATATAATTAGAATAATGGGTCTTGTGATGTTGCCTACATAACAACATAAAGTTCATGGATGTTAATATGCATATCATATACCTCATGTAGTTGAGTGTGCATTTTTTTACTTTGCATGGTCAGCCATGTAGTGGCCAATATTTCAGGTAGCTGGCAATCATTTTTCCAAAAAAAAACTATATTTCAGGGCTGCCTTAGCTTCTTCTAACTGGCAATTACATTTAACATAGTGATGAAAATGGTGGTCTATTATATAGTGAAGAATGAAGATGATGAATGGTCCTTCCTTTGTGGAGAAAAAGGAATGAGTCACTGCGTTGAGACTTCTACTGCATTCGTTTTATAGTATAAATGAACTTCGTGAGAAGACAACTATTAACACTTCAGTTAATTGTCATGTTTTTGGACTTCCGAATTAACGTTTGTGAATATTGATATAATCAAATCGGCTATTAACTTAAATTTTACAAGTTGTTAGATGTGAATGTAAAAGTAGAGATAGGAATCTTGAACCAAACCGGATTTGAATTCCTCGGTTAAGCTAAATAGGAATCTTGAATCAGACGCAGCAAAAAGGCAAAACTTGAATTAGAGCAAAAAAAAGTCCGGATTAAGTTCGGGATTTTGAACCCGACGTGAATCGAACACGCAACCTTCTGATCTGGAGTCAGACGCGCTACCATTGCGCCACGGATCCGGATGCTAATACTCTCACTTAATAGTTTTTTACTTACATTCCTCTCACTTAAATTCACTTAAGACGTGCAAGTTCTGTTCCTCATGTTCTGTCATGATTAAGAACTAAGAGGAGGAGCCAATTTGAGAATTATCAGCAGATGTTGAACTTAATTTCGGAATCCCTTGAATCTAAAGCTATGGTAACATTGAAACACATCACATTTCTTTATAATGAGAACAATTTTGATATTTTGGACTTTGAAGTACACTTAGTGTATTGTGATGTCT